ACTGGTTAAACTCCACAAGAAGAAAACATCCAACCCCATCCAAAAATGGGGCAATGAAATGAACAGAAACTTTCTCAAAGAAGAAATCCGAATGGCAAAAAAGCACATGAGAAAATGCTCTACATCATTAATCATCAGGGAGATGCAGATCAAAACCACAATGAGATACCATCTCACACCTCAGAGACTGGCCCACATTCAAAAGAACAAAAGCAACCGATGCTGGCGTGGATGTGGCGAGAAAGGGACACTCCTTCACTGTTGGTGGGAATGTCCACTGGTTCAGCCCTTCTGGAAAACAGTATGGACGATTCTCAAAAAATTAGAAATTGAGCTCCCATTTGACCCAGCAATACCACTCCTGGGAATATATCCCAGAGAGGCAAAAATGTATAGTCGAAGTGACATCTGCACTTGTTTGTTCATTGCAGCACTCTTTACAATAGCCAGAAACTGGAAGAAACCTGAATGCCCACGAACAGATGACTGGTTAAAGAAACTTTGGTACATCTACACAATGGAGTACTATGTAGCTGTTAGAAAAGATGAAGTCATGAAATTTACATACAAGTGGTACAATATGGAAAGTATCATGCTAAGCGAAATGAGTCAGAAAGAGAGGGATAGACATAGAAAGATTGCATTCATCTGGGGGATATAAAGTAACAAAATATGAGATTAATACCCAAGAATAGCTGAGATCAGCACCAGGAGGATTACTCCATAACTTAGAGGCCAGCCGGGTATCCTAGAGGAAAGGGCAGTTCAGATAGAGAAGGGAGCACCAAATAAAGGATGTTTGGAGGATCCTCCCAGGAGGGGAGATGCATGTCGAAAGTAGACTATGGACTGAACATGTTTGCCACTCAATGCCTCTTTTGCAGACCACAACACCCAAAAGGAGAGAGAGAGAACACAGGGGATTGCCCTGCCACAGAGACAGGGGGGATGGGGGGATGGGGGTGGGATGGATATTATCCATGGTGGTGGAAAATGGGCACTGGTGGAGGGATGGGTATCTGATCATTGTATAATTGAAACCAAAGCACAAAAAATTGTAAATCTACAACTTTAAAAAAAATAAAATAAAATAAAGGGAAAAAAATGTTTTACTCCATTGTTTATGTCCTTGGTAAGGCTTCTGCTCACCAGAAAACTCTCACTAGTTATGTTTTTTAGGAATCAGAAGATATGTGTGATAATACCCAAGGACAGTAAAAACAAGGGCCAGGAGGACTGGTCCATAGTTGTAAGCTTGCCACAAGAGGTGAGGGATAGGTCAGTTAGAACAGAGAAGGGACCACTATGACAATGATAGTTGGAAATGATCACTCTGGACAAGAAGTGAGTGCTGAAAGGAGGAAAAAGGACAAACAAAATAATCTTTGAGTACCTGTATGGCAACCATAAAGTCCAGAATGTGTGTGTGTGAGAGAGAGAGAGACAGAGACATAGAGAAGAAAAGTGCCTGCTATAAAGGCTGACAGGAGCAGAGGGGGTGGTGGGAGGGAAACTGGGGACATTGGTGGCAGGAAATGCACACTGGTGAAGGGATGGGTGATGGAACATTGTATGAAGGAAACCCAATCATGAACAGCTATGTAACTGTGTATCTCATGGCGATTCCCTTAAAACTGTATATCTCATGGTGATTCAATTAAAAATGGAAGATATATGAGAACATTCAACTCTTTAGGAGCAGTTTCCTCCAAGTTATTTAAGAATCACCTAGCGTCTTTAAAGGAGTATATTAGGACTTTCATTAGGGAGCATTGGTAAGTAGGTGAGACAGGAAAAAGAAGAGCAGGAAGCAAGCCCCCCAGGAGGTGTTTTCATACACTCTATTTGGACAATTGAGCTGTGAACCTGACAGCAAACTTGCAGGGCCTGTCAGAGGTGCTCTGGAGAGTGGCAGAATGCAGAGCTGGATTTTTGTCCGCTCTTACTAGGGGCTGTTCTAGGGGCTGGGAGCAGTTTCACCTGCTCTGCATGCAGGCAGCCAAACACAGCAGCACAGTGCAAACCCTCAGGTGCTGAGGCCTGCAGTAGTTAATAACTGAGAAAAAATGTTTAGAAACACCTGCCCTGGCCCTTCCTCCCACCAAGGGAAGGACCAGCCTCCTAGGCAGGCACAGTGTGGTGCCAGAGGAAGCCACAGCGATAAGCAGCCTGGTTCCCATGCAATTCCTCACCAGGCTTCCGTCTATTCTGTCTATTTGCTCTATTCTCCAAGGTTCAGCACAATCTGACCTCTGTGTGTGTGTGTGTGTGTGTGTGTGTGTGTGTGTGTGTGTGCGCGTGCACCTGCATGATGGGAGTGGGGAGGTTGGGAAAGACCATACCTCAAGTAGCATTCTCTAAATTTATGATGGCTGTCATACTTACGCTTCTAGGGTATATTTATGTTACAGAGGTGGGCTTTGTAAAACAATTTTTTTAGTACACTATTTCCCATTTGACTTATTTTGGTAATATAATTCTTCAAAAATCTCTTGAATTTTTCCCCCATATAATTCTTCTACCCTACATAAGATCCCAGCTGAATTATATTAGTTGGTGGTTATATATTTGTAATATATTTATAATTAGTTTATGTACTTCATATTTGTGTATAACAAAAACATAATTTTAAAAACACATGATTCAACTTTATATTTGTACCTAAATTTGAGTACTTTTTCAAGGTTAGGAAAATTACATACCTGTTAATCTTTTTCAAAATCAAAGGAAATTATTTTCACAACATAGAGATAGTCAGAGAGATAGTACAATGGGTTAGGAAATTGCCTTGCATGCAGCTTTGTCCCTTGAGTCCCACCAGAAATAAAACTTCAGCACAGAGCTAGGAGTAAGTCCTGAGCACAACCAGCGGAGGCTCCAAAACAAAACAAAAATAAAATTGCTACTGTTTGCTATGTTTGAAGCACATGAAAAATTCTTTGAGGACACAAAAGAAATACAGTGAGTAAGGTGCTTGACTTACACTCAGCTACCTGGATTTGATCTCCAACAAACCCGTATGGTCCCCTTGAGCCCTTCCCAGAGAGATCCCTGAATACAGAGCCACAAGTAAATTCCGTGTACCTCTGGGTGTGGCCCCCAAACCAAACAACAGAAAAAGCGGCAGAGAATTCAGTGAGAACACTACTCCCAGGTTGTTGTGTAGGGCACTGGGTAAACTTCCAAATTCCTGACTATGTCATACTTATCCTATATACATCCTCACATATATAAGTCTAAAATTATTATCCCTGAAGTCTGATGAATTTTTCTTTTTAATTTGAGTATTCAGTTCTGTGGATTTTAGTATAGTCACAAAACCACACCATCACCACTGACATCTTATTCCAGAATATTCTTATCACCCAAAAAAAAGAAACCCCTATGAATCATTTATTCACTCTTTCCTTACCTTTTTTTTCCCTTTCTGGATCATACCCAGCATTGCTCAGGGGTTACTCCTGGCTCTGCACTCAGGAATTACTTCTGGTGGTGCTTGGAGTACCATATGGGATGCCAGGGATCGAACCTGGGTCAGCCATGTGCAAGGCAAAAGTCCTACCCGCTGTACTATCGCTTCCAGCCCCTCTTTACAAAGTTTTTATTCTGAACACATCAGATAAAAGGAATACTCCACTAGGTGGTTGTTTAGTTTGGCATTTTGTCACTTAGCAATGTGTTTTAAAGCACTGATATTTGAATTCATAATATAGCATGCACTAGTACTTTTTCATTAAAATTAAAATGTTTTTCAGATGTATATACCACAAAACTCACTTTTTTAAAGTAAAAAATTTGGTTCTAATACATTTACAAAATCGTGCCATTATTACGGCCATCAAATTCCAGCTCCCATCTAATTCCATCAACCCAGGAAGAACCCCTATATCTATCATTCATTTTCATACTTATTATGTTTGGAGTGCAGGCTACAACTGGCAGTGATCAAGATTGACTCCTGATTCTGTACAAGGATCACTCCTGGTGATGCTCAAGGGGACCAGGAATCAAAACTGGGGTGAACTGGATGCAAGACAGGCACCATACTGCTATCGTTTATCCCTGGAACTTTATTAAGTTTTGTTGTCAAATAATATTTCACTGTACAAATATATTTTGTTAAACTCTTCCTAAATTGACAAACATTTTCATTGTTCTCACTCTAGCTATTCTGGGGGCGGGGGGAAGTGCTACTATGAACACTACCTATAAGTTTTGATGTGGATACATTTTTTTTTCTATTTTCTTGGGTAAACACCTATGGGGGAATTCTGGGACATATGGTGATTCTGTATCTAACATTTGGAGGTACCGTCTGTCACACTGTGTTTCAAAAATCTTTGAATCACTTTATACAACCATTGGCGATGTCTGAGGACTCCAGTTTATCCTTGCTAACATTTGTTACTTGTCATCTTTAACAGATTCATCCTAGTGGGTGGGAAACTGTATCTTACTGCGGTTTTGATTTACATTTTCCTTTTAACTAATGAGGTTGAGAATATTCACTTGCAGGTTTTAGCTGTTTGTAAATATTCTTCGACCAATTTCTGAACCTTGTGGCCCCCTGGATTTTATTTCAGTTCTGTGTGACTTTGACTTTCAAAGGATATGCAATTAATTCATAATTTGAAACTAGTATGTAAAAACTCCCAAGTATTCAGTTAATTAAAACAAACTCATGGGTTCATTCCACTCTGGAATCATCCACATTCCATGACTGTAACATAAATAATTTTGCCGGTTTGTTTGTGAGCTACACTCTTAGCGCTCAGAAATTACTCCTGGCAGGGTTCAGGGGACCATATGGGATGCTAGTGATCGAACCTGGGCTGAGTGCATTCAAGGCGAGCCGCCAACCCACTGTATTATTGTTCCCGTCTCTAAATCATTTCTCTTACTCCATGAGGCCACCTCTTCTCTTTCTCTTATCTTATATATTCTGAGTGGAACTATTTTACTTCAAACATACAAACACATGTACACAACCCGATCCCTACCTTTTGGACCAGCGGTAGCAGGCTCTTCCATGCCCACAGCAATTCAAGCCTGGTATCCGGTGTCCCCCAGATCTTTTCATTATCATACCTTCTCTGAAAGAAATGGTAACACATCATCTTCTAATTTCCAATGCGCATTTTCTAATTTCCAATGCAAAGCTGGTACAACCTTGCAACCAGGGACTTAATAAATGTGGGATTCATTTTCATGTAACTTTACCTGCAGCTTTTCCTCCTCAACCCTTGTACAACCCAAGGCACTCGATTCTCTGGCCACTTTTCAGCTAATCTTGAAAGCGCTCAGGTCAGACACAGTCCTGCAGCTTACAGGGGCAGCATAATTCCCTTTCCCACACTGCAGGATTTTAGGCATCTTGGCTTCTGCCTCCCAGAAAATTATCTGTTTATCTCACATTTTCATGACTAAAAATAATACTGTGGAAATATATGGTATGTATCAAGACTAAAATTACTTTCTTCTATGATCAAAAAGTCTTGATGTTATATGTATTATATGTACACGTTACAAGATTAAAATTTCTTTCTTCCACAATCAAAAGGCTTGGTGTTATATGTATCATAAATTTATGTATACACGTGTATTTGTAAGGAACATTTTAGTAGTTACACATTTCCCTTGTTTTGATGTTACTATCTTAATTTCTTTTCACCACATTCAAAATCAAACTATTTTTCTTTTCAAAGCTGGAAGCTTTGCATTACTTCCTTTGGCATGGCTTGATCCAAGAACTGTAGGTGACAGGATTAAGAAAGGCCTTTGAACTCTGTGGGTGGACAGGACCAGGCATCTCATAGCTACTGGACCTTTCCTATGCATGCATTTGGCAGTGTGTGGGGTCTTTTTTATGCTGACACGGTGTTGCCCTGAATGGGCATTTTCACAGTAATTAGAAGGGACCTTGTAATTGGTTTTGAGTGCATTCTCCCACATATCCTTTGAGCTACTTGCATGAAACACTCCCCCCACTGTGCTAAAGGAAGTCTGTGCTTCAGAGGATAAAGTGGTCAGCACAACTGCACGCCTGGCTCTCACCCAGGGCTGGCTGACATACAAAACGTTCCTGTACATCATCTTTCCACGCTTTGCTTGAAAGAATCCAAGACTGAAACTTACATGCCCTTTGGTCCCAGATCATGGATGAATGATAGCTGGCTTATATCAAGAAACTCTGTCTGGGAAAAAAAAAGCACAAAATCTATATTTTAGAAACTTAAAAAGAAAAGGAAATTGATACATTACAAACATATATGTCCGAGACTGCTCTGTATGATTACATTTTGGATACATTACACAAATGAATGATACTATTGCCCCCAAAGAGTAAGTCAGTAAAATAATGCGTGCTCTAAAAAGCTGAGGGAAAACATGTTCAAGAAGGTAATGGAGAGACACCTCATCCCCGGTATTATTTTGTGTTTACTCAAAATAAAGGCTGTGTGAAGCAAAGAGACTACGCAGGAAACAGAAGAGAAAGTGGAGGAGATTTTAAGTTGGGGGGCGGGGACTGGAGAGATAAGATAGCAGGTAACATTCTGCTCTGCTCAATTCCTGCACCATATGGTCCTCCAGCCCCCTCTAGGAGTGATCTCTGGGTAGAGTCAGGAGTAAGTCCTGAGCACTGCTGGGTATCTCCACACCCCCTTGAAAAAATAAATAAAAGAGACATAGTTGGGCAGGAAGGAATACGATGAAGGAGAATAATGAAAAACTCAAGAGCAATGCAGGCTCAAGGGAAACCAAAAACTTAAAACATCTCAGATCGCACTAATAAAATGTCACGTAAATAATGATATAATTACATGAAACATTTGTCATTTAGTAAGTAGAAAAGAGAGAAAATTTGAGACCTACTGCACTATGTAGAGATTTAAAAAATAGAGAGCAATAAAATAACACCAATGGCTGACATTTATTAAATGCTTAGTATCTACTGACCGTGTAGTAGACTTTTTTCCCCCATGTTTTACCTCAAACTTCCTTGAACTAGGTATACTTTTCCCATTCTACAGAGGCAAACACTGAGATTTAGAGCCAGGATAGACTTACTTTCTAAGCAATATCAGACAGTAAGTATTTTAGGGAATGTCAACTATATACTTGAACTACTAAAGTGACAGAACAGTCACAGATAATACATAAATGGTAAGCTTGGCTATGATCTTGTCTTCATTTATACACATAAAAGTATAAACATAATGGTATTTCTATAACAAAATATTCATTTAATATTTTTCAACATTTAAAAAAAGCAAAACTATTCTTAGACCCTATACCATAAAGTTCACAGGCTGGATTTTGATCTTGAGCCATAGTTTGCCAACTTCTGGTTTAAAGATAAATAAATTGCCTGAGATTATGTAATCAGCAAGGAGCAGGCTCAGAACCAGCCAAACCTGCCAGTATCCTCAAAACTAAGCTGCATTTAGCAAAAGGTCACTCAACATTTATCTTCTTCAAATTCGGCAACTTTGTTCAAGCAATCTGAGCACTAGATGAAAACACAGAAGTAGAGAGAGAATAACAAGCCAATGTGTTGTGATTCTTAGGATACGCAGCAGTCTTATCACATATGACCCCTAGAATAATTATAGTTAAACATAATTTTGGTTCCAGTTTACAGAAAACATTTCAAAAGCAGTCACAATAAAGCCCAGATCTGCCAATGGCCATAGATGAACCATAATGATGTCAACCACCTAGAAAGTCAGAGACAAATAAAAAATGCATTGGACCACAGGAAACAGAGGGGATACTAGATATGGCAACCACTTCCCACCACCAAAGTTCTGAGGGAGGAACCACGGTTACCTGTGAATATAGCAACAGTATTGACTCTGGAGTTAAAAAGGGAGGGGATCCCTTCCTAGCTGATGTGACACACAGAAGAAATGATCTTAGCTTTAGGCTTGGAAATGGGATTAATGAAATGAAACACGACAGACACACTTTCCTTTGAAGTTTTATGCATGTGGCCCAAAGTGCTTAACATTTACATTGTAAAAATTTTTTCGACTGTCTCTGAGTTGTCAGTCCTAATGAGGTCTAATTAAATCTGTGTATTCTTTCTTAGCAGTACTTGAGGAAATATTTAAAATTCAAAAGGACTTAAAAATAACCCAATTAAACATATTCTGACACGACCTATGTGTAAATATTTTTAAAGTCCGTATCTTCATATTTACTATCATTTCTGATATAAAATGCATTAATTAAGGTGTAAAAAGTGGCTCAGTGACTAAATACATGTTTGGCATGCAGAAGACCTGGGTTTCGCACCAGGCTGCCTTCACCTGGGCCTCCGCAGAGGTGTGTGGGTTGAGTTTCCCTCCCCACCCCAAGCAGAACCCCAGCAGCCAAAAACCTCCAAAACCCAGTCGCAGCCATACTCAAGGCCACTCTCCACATGCTCGGATGAGCCTCACGCATGAAGGAACCAGCAGAGGAACCCAGGTATGCAGGACCCAGGGCTGAGATCTCCAAGCCTGCTCAGATCAGGACTGGGCCTCCTCCACCCAGACCCCCAGTTTTCCAGTAGCTTGGCAGTCACACCCACAAACTGCCCCCAGCGCCATGTAATCTCATCAATGGCCAAGATCCGTAGACTATAAAGCAAAGCTCCGGGAATAGAGCGACACAGTATTTCTTGGAGCACACAGCCGCATTTGTGGCAGTGCGACCTCTTATACTCTAGCCCACTGATGTACCTAAAGCAGCACACATGTGTTTGGTTTTAACAGACTTGCTTATATTCTCTTATATACAGGCTTAAAGGGCCCCAGAATGAAATCAACAACCTTTACACACTTCGCTCTTATTGTGGTAGGAAGATGCTTGCTGGCTGGGTGGGTGTTTGAATATTATACGTAATGAACTATTGTGAACTGAAGCACTGTAGCACTGTCCTCCCATTGTTCATGGATTTGCTCGAGCAGGCACAAGTCTCCATTGTGAGACTTCTTGTTACTGTTTTCGGCATATCAAATACACCACAGGGAGCTTGCCAGGCTCTGACGTACAGGCGGGATACTCTCAGTAGCTTGCTGGGCTCTCCGAGAGGGATGGAGGAACTGAATTGGGTCCGCCGTGTGCAAGGCAAATGCCCCACCTGCTGTGCTATCGTTTCAGCTCTATATTGTGAACCACTTTATGAAAACAAAATGTATAAAAATCGCAAAAAAAAAAACCCCACCTGGGTTTGATCTCCAATAACACATGGTCCCCTGAGCACCACCAGAACGACATTCTAAGGTCATCATTTCTTTTTTGCCACAAACCAGGAGACAGATATAGATGACAGATAGATAGATAGATAGATAGATAGATAGATAGATAGATAGATGTAGATATACACAGATATGGATATACTTACAGATATCCTGGATATGTGAGCGATAGCACAGTGGTAAGGCATTTGCCTTGCATGCAGCCAATATGGTCGACCTGAGTTCGATTCCTCCACCCCTCTTGGAGAGCCCGGCAAGCTATCGAGAGCATCTCGCCTGCACGGCAGAGCCTGGCAAGCTACCCATGATGTATTAGATATGCCAAAAACAGTAACAACAAAGTCTCCGTTACTGGGCCCGCTCGAGCAAATTCATGAACAACAGGAGAATAGTGACATCCTGGATATGACTGCTATAAAAAGTGGAGGGTACTAATGACTTAGTACCACTTTTTATAATGCCCACACCTAGGATTGCAGGGGGCTTGAGAGATGGGGGCGGGAGTGCTTTTGTGGTGCTGCTCCTAGCAATGATCAAACCAAAATGGTGTGACATTGGCCCTGAGGCCTGGCAGTGCTGCAGTTGGAGCCTGTAAGCTCTGCTGTGAACCCTGATGCCACAAGTGATTTCTGTCCTACCACAGCCAGGAACTATTAAGCACCATAAAAAGAGGTGCAGCTCCGGGCAAACATCGTAAATTAAGAGTCTCGCAAGTGCCATAACCAGGAAACAAGGCCTCCGGTGGACACAGGTGTGAGTCACGCAGCCACCTCCAGGAAGCACCATAATCATGGTTTGTGTGTCTCAACCAAGGATGTGAGCAATGGTGAGAATGATCAAGCGGTGGATCTCAAGCAATGCAAATTTTTGTGAGCACAGTGGTGGAGTCTGCACATACACAATCGGATACATGATCCCCATTAAGCAGCACTTCCTGCTCTGTAGGCAACACCTGCTCACTGCAAGAAGAACAACATTGATAGCACAGCAATAAATGAAAAGGAGGATCTGGGGAGAGTGGAACTTGTGTAAGCACAATAACCAAAGACAAGGTTCCAGAGGCCAGTACAGCGATAGTACAGGGTGTAGAGTGCTTGCCTTACATGTGTAGCCAACTCCAGTTCAATCCCTGCTACCCCATACGCTCCCCACCTTCCCCCGGGCACCATCAGGAGTCATTCCTGAGTGCAGAGTCAGGGGTAATCCCTGAGTACCACGGGGTGTGGCCCAATCCCCCCACCACCAAAATAAAGGTGTCAGCACCTTTCCCAGGAATGTATTCCTTGCAAGCATGTGTGTGAACTCTGAGGTGACCTAGAATGAGCACTACAACCAGCATATGTGAGAGCAGCAGAATGAAAGGAGTGGGATGCCTGGCAAGCAAGTATGCAGGAGCTGCAGCTAAAGAAGTTCAACCCTCCAGTGAGCACCAGCAGCTAAGGATGCGTTTGATCTCTGTCACTGCAGTAACTCAACAGAAGAAAAGAGTGAAAGAAGTACACTGATGATGGGTGTGGTGTTGGAATCACGTGCATGGGAAACCATTATTAACACTGTTGTAAACCACAGAAACTTAATTTTAAAAATTTAATTAAAAAATAGAGAGCCCTTTCGCCTTCTTCCTTCTGGAAAGAAAGATGGCGGCTGCTTGGGAGCTTTGTGGAAAGCCAGGTATGAACTGGTCGTGATGGCATTGGGAGGGTTGGGGGGGGGGTTATTGGGGTTCTTCGTGGTGAAAAATAAGAATTGGCAAAGGGAAATGTGTTTGATATTTGCATGACCGAGACCTAAACCTGAAAGCTTTGTAACTTTTCCCGCAGTGATTCAATAAATAAATAAATTAAATTAAAAAAAATAGAGAAAGATACTACACTTGATCTTAGCCAAAAGGCCGAGAAGCAATACCAGGAATTTTACTCCATGGCTTGGAGGCCAACCACACATGCTAGGGGAAAAGGGAACTCAGATAGAAAAGGGAACACCAAATAAAGGTGTTGGGAGGAGCCTCCCAGGATGGGAGAAGCATGCGGAAAGTAGACTACAGACCAAACATGATTGTCACGCATTGCCTCTTTTGCAAACCACAACACCCAATAAGAGAGAGAGAACAAAAGGGAATGCCCTGCCACAGAAGCAGGGTGGGATGGGAGGGATGGGGGGTGGGAGGGATATTGGGATCCATGGTGGTGGGAAATGGGCACTGGTGAAGGGATGGCTATTTGATCATTGTATAATTGAAACCCAAGCACAAAAATTTGTAAGTCTACAACTGTACCTCATGATGTCTCACTAATAAAAATTTTAAAAAAATAGAGAAAGAGGGAGGAAGAAAGGATGGATTAAAAAAAAGAAAATTTAGAAATCACAGAAAGAGTACAAAAACAAAATTGCTAACCTAGGTCCAGGAAGATAGCTCAAGTGGCCAGAGCACATGTTTTGAAATGCAAGCATGCAGGAGGCCCAGGCATGATCCACATCACCACTTGGTACAGTGTGTAGGGCACTTGCCTTGCAAGTGGACTACCTCGATTCAATCCCTGGCATCCTACAAGGTTCTCCAAGTCTACCAGGAGTGATTCCTGAGCGCATAGCCCAAAAGTAACCCTGAGCACTGCTAGGTACCAGCCCCCCTCCCCTCAAAAAAAAAAAAATAAAAACCACATCACCTCTTGGTTGCCATGAACATTTCCAGGAACAACCCCAAGCACTGAGTCAGAAGAAAATCCTTGACCTCCAGTTGTAGCACCACCACGCCCCAAAAACCACCTAAATAACTGTTCTATCCAAAAAAAAAATCATTGGAAATAAATACCTAACACAGATTTATTAGATTGAAAGAAAGATGGCAAGATCAATTTTGAAACTAAAGCAAAAAACACATTTTTAATTTAATAGAGATTCTGTTGTCCAAACGTCTTAGTGTTATCTTTAGTGATAAGAATGTCTTCCTTTATTTGGACAGCTGGCACTTGGGAGTAAGGGTTTAATCATCAATGTAGCCTGAATATATTCCAGAGAACTTATTGATTCCTTGAGCAATGTATTAATCAATATCTATTTTTCACCTATGTGAAATTGTGAAAAATATGAGTAAGTGTTGGGAAATCAGAAGGCAAAGAGTCTCCAGGTCCCGGGCCAAGGAAAAAATCTTAATTGTGTGTGCTAGAGGTGGGTCAGAGTGAAGCCCATCCTATCACTGTACACAGGCTTCTCCACCCCATGTCTTCATTAGAAAGAAAGGAATTCAGAGGCCCCTTTTCACCCTGAGCTGACAAAGGTTCAAGTGAGAGCCTGGAAGAAAATGCTCCAAATTTAAGAAAGATAAGAGCAATTGAATCCCCTTTAATGATGGAGCAAGCTCAGTGGTTCCAGGTAAGGCTGCCTTTTAAAGAACCTAGTGAATATAGCTCTAGAGAACCCCTCTCTCTAATCTAGGGAAGGAACTGAGAAGATGGACCTAGACCCAGGGGCCACCCGCCCCCGCCCCATACACACACACACACACACACACACACACACACACACACACACACACACACACACTCAATCTGAAGGAAGACAACACAGCCCTTAAATTGCAGAAGCAGCTGTTCCAATCAGTCGGGTTTTTCTCTGTTGGCATGGCAACACTATGTGTCCTGATTAATCTTTAGCCTCTTCCCCTTAAGCTGCAGTTATTCATCTTACAAAACAAGAAAGAGAAGAATTCAGCATTATTGATCTGTGGGATGTTTACCCTTCTATATCTTATCTCCACCATGGTGATTAGCTAGAAATCACCACCTTGGAGCTAAGGAATCTGAGTTACAAAAGTCAGATAATGTCTTAACTATTAACTAGGGCCTTTCCCTGGAAATTAAGCATTTTGTTCCACTTCTATATTTGAATCTTTTAACAGAAAAAAAAAGTACAGTTACTCTTTGTAATGACTCTGCCTTTCAATTCTCCAAAGAGAAGCATTTTTTTTTTTTTTACTACTAATTAGAATACCCACCAGCTAGCTAGTGGGTTTGGTACTATAGCAAAGGCTAAGACAATTCAGAATACGAAAAAAGAATCCTATTTGAGGTTTATGCTGCTGTACATCTGAGCTGAGAGTTTTTTAAAAATTTTTTGTCAAATGCATTTATCTGACTTTATAAGTAAAGAAAATGGAATAAATCACTCATCATCTTTGAGAGAAACGTCTGATGGTGAATCCATTAAGACACTAGGTTACAGTGACCTTTCAAAACCTGGGAAATTTTCAGATTTTTCAAACATTTTTTATAAGGAAAGGAGTTTAAAAACAAGGAAACTTGGGACCACGGAGATAGTACCAGCAGCTAATGTGCTAATCTTACACATGGCAGACTTAGGTTCGAACCTCGACAACCCCTGAACCTGCCAGGAGTGATCCCTGAGCACTGAGGCAGATGTAAGCCCTGAGCACCACCAGTGTGCCCCCTAAAATAAAAACAAACAAAAATGAAGAAACTCTTCACAATCCTAGAAGAAAAAGTAACAGTCTAAAAACTAACTGAACCAAAGAAGGAGCTTCCTCTGTCTAATGTTACTGAAATCAAGGAGATCTGATCCCTAACCTACAATATATATCCAAAATAATTTACAATAGTTTGGTTTTGCAATTTATAAAATATAAATTATGTGATCACATAAAATCATTTTTAGTATGTACTTGCAAACAGCTTTAATATTTCTCACAATTATAAAAGGATATAGATGCCAAACTATCTTCACAAATATGAGGCCAAGGTCTGAAAATCTGATCTCTAGGCAAAATTTCATTGAACATCAAAGTAAGATAATATTAGAGAATTAAGATGGATCAAATTGTGCCCTATGATTCAATCATCTTAGAGACTGTGTGCTGTTGGCAGAAATAAGTATCATAAAAAAAAAATTGAAGTAAGCTCTATTTAGTCTGTTGTAAACCAGGATTTGCCTTACAAAGGAAATATAAAGAAGTCATTCTGGAATTTCTACAGGCAATATAGCTCAACTTTGAAAAGATTTTTATGACTGGAAAGATGAAAACGAACATGTCAAAAAAAGTAAATATTCTTGACTTAACTGAGAATCTAGAATGTGGTAGCAAAAAAAAAAAAAAGATGAACTCTGAAAGCACTGTTTTAATATTCCCCCAACTCCCATTAAAAAAAAAAGTAAAAATATTCATGCAGAGAGAAAAGTAAAGGAAATGGAAGACTATTGCATATAATTACAAGTTTATATTGAAAATAAAATTCCCTTGGGTTGGAGAGATAGCACAATGGATAGGTTTGACCTTGCATGAGGTCAACCCAGTTTTGATCTCTGGTATCCCATATGGTCTCCTGAGTACCTCCAAGTAATTCTTGAGTGCAGAGGAGGAGGCCCTGAGTATCATCAGGTGTGGTCACCAAACAAACAAAGAATCCCCTATTAAAAAGTATATCTGATTTTGGAGAATACAGTGGAAAGCAGCATTTTTAGTAATAATGTCAGAAATATTTTTACATTTCACATTCTTTCGAAAAGTACATTCCTGAACCCTACACCTGTCACTGTCACTGTCACTGTCCTCCCGCTGTTCATCGATTTGCTGGAGAGGGCACAGTAACGTCTCCATGGTGAGACTAGTTGTTACTGTGTTTGGCATATCAAATACATCAAGGGTAGCTTGCCAGGCCTTGCCGTGCGGGCAAGATACTCTCAGTAGCTTGCCGGGCTCTCCGAGAGGGGCGGAAGAATCGAACCTGGATCGGCCGGGTGGGCCACATGCAAGGCAAATGCCCTACCCGCTGTGCTAAGGCTCCAGCCCGGTCCAACACCATAACCAATAATTTATATATATATATATATATATATATATATATATATATATACAAATAATATGATTAGTGCGTTCTCCACTGCTGGACTTTCGGAGTATTAAAGTCTCACTTATTAAAAGCAACCCACACTAAGGGTCTTTAAGTGGCAGAGCTCCTAATGTTCTGAAACCTTCTGGAAAGTCCATTTCCTCCAGTTTGCCACCTGTTTCTAAGCCCCACCACTACTCTTTTCTCTGATTTCTCAAGAGACTTTTTTTCTCTCCCAAGCTTTTCCCATGCTTCTCACTTTCACATGAAAAATACAAGCCTTTCCTAAGCATATCAAGCCAATCAGATGAGTCTCAGTGGGCTTACTGTAATCTTTGAGTATTCAACTCTGCTCAAATGTTTTCATCACTTACTACGCAGCGGTTTTTCTTCAGGGTTATGAATTATTTTTACATTAATTTTGAAGCTTGAGGAAAGAAGGAGGTTGATTTTTGAATAATCTAGCCTGCCATAATACACTTTTCACATTCATTTAAATGTATTACTATACACACATTAAGTTACATTTTAGGTCTTTAAATTCAACCCTTAATGTCATATCAACTTTATACTCTGCAATACACACATATACACACAAATACATATATGCTGAACCCCATCAACAACACAATTCATGTAGAAGATAGATACAAAACATTTCATTTATTTTAACCAAGATATAAAGCAGAAATGTATGCCAGTAGTGGCTAATACAAATGAAATAATCCAAAATGTAGCTGTCACTTTGCAGTTTTAAATTACTTCAAAAATATAAATCACTGAATAGTACTTACTGTTGCATGATAATTTTTATACATGGGCATTTTTAGCAACTTTGTCAAATAATCTTCTAGCTGTTTCTGTAATAAAAATATTTTAAAGAAGAAATAACATTACCATACTTATAAGAATTCTCAACAGTTAGTGACAATGGTGTGATCATTATTACCTATTAATATCTATACATGATTATTACCTATTAACCTCTGTCCATTATGCAATCATGCATTAATAGTATTACTATAAGCAATGCTAAATAGCATTAAGGCATTGTTATCAAGGTACACTTTGTGTAAGTAATATTATTTAAATACCTTCTTTGTGCTACTTAATTTTTCACATATTTTCAGTAGTTAAACAATTGCTGACAAGATTTATAGCATGCATTGTTTAGATCTTTCATAGTCATGAATAGAAGTTCTGACCAAAGTAAGTATTTGAAATCATTAACCTTCTCAAAAACCTAAGTTTACCCATTTCTATAACTAATTTTACTGAAAGATGTACTATAATTATTATCTTTTAGAGTGAAAAAGAGATTTAAAAATTTTATACAATGTGTACTCTGATTTCAAATATATTCAGTATGGAAGGAGTCATAATTGGAAAAGCATCAATTTTAAACTCACAGAATCATCACTTTCAACTGGATTTATGTATTTTTGCATAATGATCCCAAACTGTAAAAATATTATGTCTAGGTAGTTTAGAAAACACCTATATGTTCCAGATTCCTGAAAAAGACTTTAACCAAGATGACAACTATAAAAAAGAAACCAAACTTCTCTTCCAGAACATGAAAGTCTCTGATTGTAAAAAAGGAACAAACGTTCATTTATTCATTTTCTTTTCTTTCTTCTTCTTTTGTTTTTCTTTTTGGGTCACATCCGACAATGCACAGGGATTACTCCTGGCTTTGTACTCAGGAATTACTCCTGGTGGTGCTCAGGGGACCATATGGGATGCTGGGAGTCCTACCCGGGTCGGCTGCATTCAAGGCAAATGCCTTGCCTGCTGTCCTATTGCTCCACTCCCTTATTTGTTCATTTTCAAGATTTAAAAAAAAAACAACTATCCAACCCAGCTTTCTCTACAACAAGCTCGTAAAGAAACAGCCCCCAGAAGCCAGTCTTCTCCATAGGTCTCTGCCGCACCCTTGCACTGTCTGTGCTCTGCCCAGCTCTTCTCAGACCCTCACTGCCCTACTGAGAGTTGCGGATACGTTATTTATATTTGAGAGAAGCTACAAGTACAATGCAAACACACGGAAATATATAATTTTAAAAGACTACATATCCAAGCCCTGAAAAATGTGCCCAACTCTGGGTGCCCAGGAGGTTTCTGTAGACAAGGCAAAATTTTTCATGCCCAACAAAGTCCATATATACTTCTAAGAATTAGAAATCTTCTTCAATCTCGGGGGCAGAGAATCCTGGGCAAGAAGGGACTGACAACTGGCCACGAGAAGCCTGGTTCAGAGAAAAGTTGAGGACAGAACACCCCACCCATCCATAGATTCTGGAACTCTAAAATGTTGCAAAATTCATGTTCTAAGCCACAAGAGCATAAAAAGACTTACCCTCTTACCAGAGAACTGCTCTCTATTCATGTTTTCAGATGAGCTCGGAAAACTGGGCATCTCTCGAGGTTCCTCCCTTTTGACATTTTGTCTTCTGAATGTGTGTCTAAACACACACACAAACAAGAACAACAAAATTAATTAGATTATCTGAGTCATGACTCTCATATTTCATGAGGGGACTTACTTTCAAAGAATCTGTTTAATTGAAAATATCCACCCACAGCTAACCAATGAGATGAATGAAATGCTCTTTCTGTTCAACTTGTATGTTGGCATAACTCTATAATGAATTCTTCAACAGTTACCTTTTGCTGGGAAGGGGGATTCGGATGAAGGCTTTGTACTTGAGCAGTTCTCTGTGAAATTCTTGAAAGTGCTTATATTTCCTCTTAACTTGCCACTTGAATTCCCCATGTGTTAATTCAATAGTATAAAGATTGATACTTGCCACCTACAATGATCAATAAAAACTATTGGTATTTTAAAAGCAATAAAAATTCCAGATAGCATCTGTTGAGAACAATAAATACTATCAAAGTTAATTGTTAAATGACACAAAAATGATTTTCAGTCTGGCTATTATGTTTTGTGTAAATACTTAAAAATTAATTAAAAGCAACTGGTTACATTAAAAATATATTTATCCAATAATATATATGTATAAAGCAAGCTAAATCATACTAACTCTCACAAATAACACTGATCCAAATACACAAAAACACACACATACACACACACACAAAACCAAGTAAAGGAGACAAGGAGAGCTGGCTTTTAATTAGCCATCAGGGGTTTTTACAAAACTGTAAACAGAGAATATACACTGAGAAGGGTGAGCGGAAGCTGGAGAAAAAATAATCCATATAACCCACTCCTTGCTGTTCATAATGATATTAATTTTTCTCTAACACTTTCTAAGGTCCATCCCAGTCTACAACATCTCTCTGTCTGAGGTACTGCCTTCCTGTGACCAGGAAGAAACAAGATCACCAGAGAGAAATAAGCAAAAGAGCTTGCAATATACAAATTATTCCTCAAAACTTTGTCAAAATGGATCTTCATTATTATTTTTAAAACACATAAAAGTGCAAATAGATGTTGTTGTCAGTGAAAAATTGTCACTGCCCACTGTCCTCCCGTTGTTCATCGATTTTTGCTCGAGCGGGCCCAGTAATGTCTCCATCGTGAGACTTGTTGTTACTGTGTTTGGCATATCGAATACATCACAGGTAGCTTGCCAGGCTTTGCCATGCGGGCGAGATACTCTCATTAGCTTGCCCGGCTTTCCGAGAGGGGCAGAGGAATTGAACCCGGCTCAGACGGACCGGCTGCGCACAGGGCACGCCCTACCACTGTGCTATCGCTCCAGTGAATTATTACAATAAGAAATGCCAATAAAACTTGAGGAATGGAGAAATGGTATAATGAGTTTCACACTTGCAATCAACCTGGATTCAATTCCCTGACCCTCATCTGGTCCCCTGAACACAGAGCCAGGAGTAAGCCTTGAGCACTACTGCATGCATCCCAAAGGCAAACAAAGAAAAACTTTGGGGTGTTAGGAGTCTTGAGCACTTGATCACTTGACATCCTGTTTTTCATCGATTTGCTAGAGCAGGCACCAGTAACATCTCCATCCGTCCCTGTCGCATGCTAGTGTAGCCTAATGGCATCTGCTGACTTTAGGAAGACAAAGAGCCTCAAACCAATTGTTCAGGGTCTTGATGAAGAAGTCTGACCATCTCATACGTGGGCAGCCACACAATCTTTTGACGTCCCACAGAATCCAGTCGGTGACAGCTCTAGTCCAGCAGTCATCTCCAAATCACATTATGTGTCCAGCCCATCTGGTTTTCGACACCTTGGCAAACAAGACAGCGTCCCTAATTCTCCATCGTCGATGGAGGTCAGAACTCCAGATTCCTTCTCTCACTTGAGTGAAGCATGATAACCCAAGCATAGTTCTTTTCATTCCTCTTTGGGAGACCCGAATAGCATTCTCATCCTGTTTTCGTAGGGCCCATGTCTCTGAGGAATATGTTATGCAGGAACAATGGTGGAGTTGAAGAGATGTGCGCAGAGCTGGAGGTTCTTCATCCTCTTAGATATTTCTTCAACATTCTTGAAGGCGTTCCATGCTGTTCTCTTCCTCCTGCACAACTCAGGTGCCAGGTCATTCGTCATGTTGAGTTCTCGACCTAGGTACGCGTAACTGTTGCATTCGGAGATTTTTGTTCCATTGAGAGTGAATAGAACATCAGGAAAGAGTCTGTTTTTCATAAACATTGTCTTTGTGAGATTCAGCTGCAGTCCAACCATTCCACACTCAAGGTTGAAGTCAACCAGCATTTGTGCCACTTGGCTAATGTTTGGTATTAGAACAATGTCACCAGTGAAGCAGAGGTGGTGTAGTTGCCGACCATCTATCTTCACTCCCATTCCTTCTCATTCCAGTCATTGCATGACGTTCTTGAGGGTGACACTGAAGAGTTTCGGTGAAATGGTAACACTCTGCCAAACCCCTCTCTTGACATCGATGATCACAAATCACAAATCACAAATCATCCTGTTAATCGTCGATTGCCTCGAGCAGGCCCCAGTAACGTCTCCTTCATCCTAGCCCTGAGATTATATTCAAGGCTCTTTAGGAGAATGAAACCCATCATTTTTAGTGGTATTTGGCATATTGGGTACACCACAGGGAGTTTGCCACACTCTGCCGTGTGGGCAGGCTACATTCGGTAGCCTGCCAGTTTGTCCAAAGTAGGAATGAGATAATAAGATGTCATAATAAGATGTCGTGCGGCTGCAAATGCGGCCGCGTGGTTCCGGGAGCTGGTTTTTATAGTCTCTGAGTCTTAGCCGCTGATGGGATTACACAGCGCCAGGGGGCCAGTTGGTGGGTGTGACCCCCGCCTACTGGAATTTGGAGGATCTGGGTGGAGGATGCTCGGCCCAAATCCGAGTAGGCTTGGAGATCTCGGCCCCGGAACCCGTGTGGCTCTGTCCCTCTGCCAGTACCTTCATGTGTGCGGAGAGTGGTCTCAGCATGGTGGTGGCTGGTCCTGGAGGTCTTTGGCTGCTGGAGCCCTGGTCGGGGCAGGGAGGAAAGCTCAACCCGCTCACCTCCAAGGGGCCCCGGCGGAGAGGACAGTCAGGCGCGGGGGCAGGAGACTGCACTGTTCTTCTTCCGGGAGCTGGTTTTTATAGTCTCTGATAACTTCCTTGTAAAATGGTGAGATCCTGGTTATGAATCCATAATACATCATAAGACACTTAATACCCATTTTCCACGAGTACCGCACCATATTTGATGGGGTTCAAATATGGTTTGAACCATGGGAACACCTGCAAGAGCAATTAAAGGCCACCCTAAAAGCCTCTATTCCTCTTGGAGAGCCTGCAAGCTACTGAGAGTATCCTGACTGCATGGCAGAGCCTGGCAAGCTATTCATGGGGTACTCGATTTGCCAAAACCAGTAAATACAATGGTTCTCATTCCCCTGACCCTGAAAGAGTCACCAATATGGCAGTGTTAAGAAGGATAAGGAAGGAGAAGCTGATAAGATCTCAAGGCCGAACTAGGCTGCCAGAACGAAGGAATAAAATGACTGTCTGTACTTTAAATGCATGTACGCTGGTATCAGATGCATCCATTGAGGACTTGATGGTGTAAGCACAAAAGATCAAGTACGAGATGAGAAGGCATCAACCAAATCACACCATTTTCAACACTGGAGAAGAACTCTTCCTTGGAACATGTGACAAAAGAAGCATCGTTGGTGTTGGTGTCCTTCTCAACACGAACTTGGCCATGAGCATTGATTCATTCGAAGGTCTAACAACCTGAACCGGAAAATTACACTTGAATAGATGTGGCTAGATCTATTGATGGGGCATAGATCTCCTAGCCTGCTCGGATTGGGACTGAGCCTCTTCCATCCAGATCCCCTATCTTCCAGTATGTAGGCATTATACCCACCAACTGCGCCCAGCGCAGTGTAATCCCATCAATGGCCACGACCCAGAGACTATAAAACGCAGATCTTATTATCTAGTCCTTACTCTGGAGAACCTAGCAGGCTACCAAAAGTATACTGCCCACACGGCAGAGTCTGGCAAACTCCCCATCGTGTATTCAATGTGCCAAAAACCAGTAACAATGATGGTTCTCATTCCCTTGACCCTGAAAGAGTCACAAATATGGCACTTTCTAAAATCTCAGGGCTAGGACAAAGGAGACGTTACTGATGCCTGCTCAAGGAAATTGATGAACTACAGAATGAAAGATGTGGTTCACTGCCGGAAGTTTCTATCTTTGTTGTCTATGCACCAGCATCCAATTATGAGAATTTCTACATGGAGGTTCTATAAAGAAGATCACACCTTCTACAAGATCATTGTTGGTGATTTTAATGCCAAGATAGGGCTGAGAAGATCAGCTGAAGAACTCCACATCGAGACCCATGGCCTTGAATGGGGAATGAACAGGGGTGTGAGACTAAGTTCATCATGTCGACCAAGACCATCCATGGTAACTCACAATTCCAGAAGACCAAATCTAAATGTTGGACATGGGAGTCTTCCATCGATGGTTCCAACGAAATTGACCACATCACATTCAATCAACGATTTTGCCTGACCGATATTGCTGTTGTCCCAAAATTCCAAACTGGATTGGACCACCATCTCCTTCATGCAAAATTCTACTTCACGGAGGAGGAGAAAGGGCGGCAAAATTTAAAAAGAGAACTCCCAGAATTACCACCAACTGGGAGCTCTTTGGCACTACTGTAGCAATGTGGAAAGATGCCATCTTGAAAACATTGATGAAGAATATGATCGACTGGTTCAGCACTTCCATGATTGTGCGAGGAACACCAAGAGAGAGAGATAGCCACAAAAAGATGCCTGTCTTCAAAAACTCTTGAGCTCATTCACCAACGTGGTTTGGCACGAGCCTCAGGCAACCACAAGTGAAGGTGCGAGCTCACAAAGCAGTGCAGAGATGCGATCAAGGAAGACCTCAAAGAGAGAAGAGCAGCAGTGCTGGTAGATGTGGCAGAAGCCGGAAAAAGCATTCGCAATGCCCCCTGTCCTTCACCAGCTACAAGACCAAGATGACTGCCCTCCGATGTCCTGATGGATCTATCACATCGTCCAGAAGGGCAATGGAGATGATTATCCATGACTTTTACTCAGATCTCTTTGATAGCCACGTCCACCTGCCCACATACCAAATTCCACAGGATAGATAAGTTGTTCCCAACATTCTCCCTTCCGAAATCCGACACGCCATTTTGTCAGTAAAGAAGCGAACAGCACCCAGCCTAGACAAGGTCAGACTCGAACACCTGAAGAACCTGCTGTCACTAGTCATCAATACACTGGCTCGGCTCTTCACATGCTACCTGTCTGAACGCAAGGTTCCATCCCAATGGAAAACCAGCAGGACTGTACAAGAAGGGAGACATACACAACATTGGCAACTATCACCTGATCTGCCTGTTGTCTGTCGTCTACAAGCTGTTCTCTCGAGTCATCCTGAATAGGATTGGCAGAACACTAGATGAAGGACAACCATGCGAGCAAGCCGGGTTCCAAAAAAGGATTCAGCATGATCGACCTTATCCACACAATAACCAAGCTCATTGAGGTTTCTTGGGAGTTCAAGATGCTGCTCTGTCTAACGTTCATTGATTTAAAGAAGGCCTCTGATTCTGTCAAGACTGAAGCAGTCATCGAAACCCTAGCCAAACAGGGTGTTCAAACTCAATACCTCAGGATCCTCTGTGAGCTGTATTACAGATTCACTACCAGGAGTTTTGATACAGTATATGATGTCAGGAACTAGAGGAATATTTATAAACACAGTTAAAAGAAGTTCCCAGTGTGTATGTAAGAGGGAAGGAGAAAAGGATATGGAGGGAACTGTGCACTTCCTCAAGAACAGTGACTCTGCGGGAAGATGTAAGCACTGGACACAGGGAGAGTCCAGTGTCTCCCACTGAACTACTTTATCCAGACTCTGATGTCAGCAACCCCAAGATGAATGCCAGGCATTAATGTTATTTGTCATATTGTTGTAACTTCTAAAGCATGATCACTCTCCATAGCTGTAGTACATAAAACAGATCATGAGAGTCAATGAAACTTGAGCCTGTAAATTCATTGACAAATATACAAATAAACAAATACCACCATAAATCACTGAAAAATATACAAATATACAAACATTACTCTAAATAACTGTATCATTGTATCATTGTCATCCCGTTGTTCATCAATTTACTCAAGCGGGTGCCAGTAAAGTCTCCATTTGTTTCAGCCCTGAGATTTTAGCTACTTAAGTCAACCTAAATCACTGGCAAATATACAAATCTGGGACTTATTTCATCTCTAGTCTGGATCCATGAAAGTTACTACAACCCAAAGCTGAAGGAGCCCCATCTGGGGGATCAATGTTGTATGCTATCTACCACCTTGGCCAACATTAAAGTGTTATCCTTTTCATACTTTATAGAAGTATGAAAAAAAAACTCACAGAGGCCAGATACTTTGCATTCAAGTGAGACACTCAATTTAAGATGAGAAACTCATTTTAAGACCAGAAAGATGATGCAATTTAAGCAAACCGCCACATTTTCCTGGAGTTTAGTTTTCTCTTTGTGAGAAAATTCAACACTTACAAAACATTGCAAATGCCAAGTTTTATCCCTCATAACATAAACCTGGAACTTCTTAGCAACTGTGAGGCAATGTGGTACAACAGAAAAGGCCTGTCACACATTCTTGAAAGGTTAGAATACCTATGATGCAGCCAACCAGCCATGAAGCTGCAACCAACATTACATTTTTTCAGACAAAATCCGAACATAATTACTAGTATAATTTGGAAATGAAATCATTGGAGTTTTACTAAAGGACAATCTTAGGAAGGTGCAACAGAGGTAAGGAAACCAGACACGATGGTGACCTGCAACTAGTAAAGGTAATCTCATCCTGAAGGGGAAAAATCAAGTACTGGATTTGGTGCTAAGTCAGGACATTAGGACGAGCCTCTGGATGCTGCTCTGAAAACAGGAAGCTGAACCGGGGCCCCATTTTCACATTAAGTGGGCAAGCTAAAACCTGTGAGTCCAATGATCTAGAGAAGTACAGCATGCTCTCATCTGCCCGCCTGGCCTTACATTATCTTGGATGTACAAAGCAGCAGTTTCCCCCTCTCTTACACATCACTAATCTGGATTGATTAATCTTCAAGTATCAGTATGAGCCTTCTCTTTGCCCTACATGTAACCAACTACAAGAATATGGGGGACGTAGTCTGTAGAGCCTACATGTCCAGCTCCATATCTTCCTCTGACACTTGTAATCGTAATAACATAGCTTTAACAAGACAATGTATACCCTGATGTTCTTTTGTCAAATGCTCATCCTATAACTGTTCGTGCTCTCATTAGTGAGTCTTTCTCTTTGATGAAGTCATTAGGATGTAACTGATAAAAAATAGAATAATAGGAGGCCTCTGACAGTTGGTCTTTGCCTCAAGCCAGATTGAGCCTTGTCCCTCCGTGCTCTTTACATTCTTCTCACATGTTTTATCTCTGTGCTTCTGACAGATTGATCAATCACTTTATGCAACACTGGAATTGGGAGGAAAGAGCCACAGGAGAGGGTTTGGGTACAGATAGAAAGGGAATAGGTTGCCTTTGGTCAAGGGATACAGGCAGCCCAGAGAGACTCCAGTCAATCTGGCACCTACCAGAAGGCAAATGTAAGGAAGCATGAAGGGCAGAGAACAGACAGGAGGCAGATAGAGAGAGGCCTGGAGAAGCAGGTGACAGCATCAGCATAGAGGGAGGCATGGCAACATTTGTCTCACTAGAATTTCAAAAGGGTGAGAACATAAATGCAACTTAAGTCATAAATTGGCACACAGTTCAGCTTAGAAATGAGAAAAAAATGTCATTTTAATTTATGCACAATCAGGCTTAACTTTCTCATTCTAAATTTGCTTGAATTCAAAGAAACAAACAGTTCCTTTGAAAGTTGCTGGTTTGCCTGCATCAGTATTACAATCATTTTATAATTGATTATCATTGATCATTATGAGTAATTTCACAAGACACCTCCTAATAATGTCTGGTATTATACAGTGTATGCTTGTATAGTACAGTATCTACTGTTGTAATACAGGTATAACACTAGCCATTATCATTAAATCCTCAGAGTAAGGGATCAGGAGACGCTTCAGAGGTTTGAGTGCCTTTTCTTGTGAGCATGAGAACCAGAGTTCAACTCCTGGGGCCACCATCCTGGCAGCTATGCTGTCTGAGCTTCCCTGGAGCTGCAAGGGAGGTCCAACCACACCACAGCAGTGAGCACTGCAACTTAACATGTGAAGCAAGCATGTGCACACCCCCCACCCAACACTGTCAGAGTGAAGAGGAAATATGTGAAAAACAAATCTGTAAGGGGTAGACTCTGTGGGACCCATTATACAGACAGGGGAACTAAGAGACAGCGAGGCTAAGTGATGTGCAGGAGATTTGAAGACTCAGTGGAATTAACCATGTAGTCACACTCTGCAACCTCTGCATTAAGCCCTGCATGCCTTTGCTTCTCAGTGAAAATCAGGTAGGCAAAATAATTGGTCAAAGGCCATCTCAGAATGGGTTGTTTTCAGTGGTGTGTCAGGGAAACTGGCTCCAACTCACAGGGGAGAGCCAATGGGAACGCTCTGAGTACCAGGAGCGATCAGGGTGGAGCTGTAGGCAAAACCCTCGGGACTAAGAGAGTACTATCCAGAAGTCATAGAGACAGGGTATCAAAGGCCATCCAGGCAGAGATTATCTACCCTTCTGCTAAGGCCATGTCTGGAGATTTATGGGAAGGGACATTGTGAAGGTGTGTTTCACCAGCATGCCCTTCAGACTTCATGAGCGTGAAATCCAGGCAGTAACAGTGCCAGCACAGCTACACTCAGCTTCTCATATTCCAGTCATCTCAAAGACTTCAGCTATGCCTGATGAACACCTGGGAATGAGCTGGAACAGTGGGGTGCCAGGAACAAATAAAAAAGCAGAACAGACCGTTAGAATACTCTCAGCAATCCAGCAATGGCATGGGCCATCCAGCACCCTGGTGGGTGTTCATTTTTGTTGGTTTGGGGTGTGTGTGTGTGTGTGTGTGTGTGTGTGTGTGTGTGTTTTCAATTCAGGTATAACATTATTTACTTGCTGAACAAATTTTTGGAAATAAAAATTAACCTTCCCTTGGTCTTTGTCTGGCATTTTGGGTGGAATGACTGCCCAAACTAAACAGAAAACTGAAGAGAAATAAAAGGGAACTATGAGAGGTACTTTGCAATATGGTAAACTGTGAATTTGTATACTGACTTAAATGTGGAAACAAAGAGAGAGAATAAGGGAAGAGGGGGAGAGCATTTAGAACATAACAAGAATATGAGGGTGGAAAAACAAACAGAAGCCCCAGCTCAAAATATTCCTAGCTGGAAGGGAAGCAGGTGGACATCAACGTGTTCATTCATACACATAGACAGACCCAAGGTGAGTCTATAGAGCTCACACTGGTAGCAGATGTGAAGCGCTCCACTTCCAGGACTTGGGCTTTTATTGGACAGCCAGAGAGATAGGTCTGTATGTTCGGCTCCTTAAATCCTTGAGTCTCATAGATAGCAGAGAAAGGGATGTACTCTGAAAAACAAAGAAGCGAATAAAGTTACTGCAAGAAGGCATGATATTATCTTCACTTGCCTTTTCTAGGCAACTCTTTACACAATAAGACCTGTGAAAGCATGAAAACACAACATAGGAAGCAACTCAAGCCCATGTGACAATACGTGCAAGAAAAACCAATCCTTGGCAGGTTGGAGCAAATGTGTGCTCTGCCCAGCAATCCCAATAAACTCTCCTCACTCAGCTTATCAGTCCTTACCTTCCTGTGTCTTTGGATCATCAGGAGACAAATCGTATTCCACCTCCTGTCCTTCAAAGTGGAGCTCTCTTGTGTCCAGATTTTCTATCAAATTACTCATGTCAGCAGCAATTTTCTGCAGTGCAGCAGTGTTTACTCGTGGCTCATTTTTCAGTGACATGTTAGCTTCAGGTGGAGGGACAAGCAAAGGGGCTGCAGAAGAAGAAAAAGGTTACAAAAACAGTATTATAGACAAACAGAACCCTCTTCCATCAGTTAAGTCCAGTCTTGCATTATTCACTGGAGAAGCAAGTCAGCTAGTTCTATGTGAAACCCAGTTATCTCAACCTGTTCTCTTTCTAGCTTGTAAATTAATTTGGAGTCAGGTAATTAATCGCAAGCAAGGAAAAAAAAAAGTGCCTCGTGAATAAACACTAACATTTCTCTCATCCAACTGTATGCTCTTGTATAGGTGAGAAGGGAGTCAAGGAGTATAGGTTTTAGAATAGATATTGCAAGAAAAGAAATTGATTCTTAACTAGTAAATACAGAGGAGAGCCTGAAAGATAGTACAACGGGTAGGATGTTTGCCTTGCACACAGCTGACCTGGGCCCAATCCCCTGAACATCATGTGGTTCCCCAAGCCCCACCAAGAGTAATCCTTGAGTGCAGATCCAGGAGGAAACCCTGAACACAGCTGGGCTTGGCCCTCAAACAAAAAGGCAGAGTGAAAATATATATATATAACAACACAAATTTTAATAATTTCTGATTTTAAAGTAGAACATTTTACAATAATTTTAGTAAGCAGATTTCACAGATTTTTTGTTCTTTTTGGGTCACCCCTGGCAATGCACAGGGGTTACTCCTGGCTCTGCACTAAGGAATTACTCCTGGAGGTGCTCAGGGGACCACATGAGTTAGCTGCGTGCAAGGCAAATGCCCTACCCACTGTGCTATTGCTCCAGCCCCAGATTTCACAGATTTTTTATGACATCGCACTCTTTATACATTTCCCCTGTAGGTGACACGCATCATCCATTTTTGTGAAATAGGATATTTGAGCCATGACTGTACCTGAGCTACCATGATGTGTGATTCTTGAGAGGCAATTGATTGGTGTACCTACTTTGAAAGACATCAAAGTGTGCGAATTATACTTCTCTCCCTTTTAAAGAAAACTGGCTCTATTTCATTCCGACATTTAATAACACAAGTCGTTGCACATCAGTACCCAGGGAAGAAGAGTTCATATAGATTTTATTTCTCGCTTAAAATACTGAACTTTAAGCCTTGAGCCTTGGCATCAGAATTGGATAAAAAAAAAATCTGTATTGTTTGACATTATCTCTATGGTATAGCCAGGCCATAAAATGAATGTGTATTCATACCTGCTACTCTTCCATATATGTTCACTTACAATCACAAATGGCAATCACAGAGAATCCACCATTCATCCACTGCTGTGGCAGCAAGTAAGATTATTTATAAAGATAAATAAAGCTCCCTGTATTTAAGGAGCACCTGGCGTGGGTGAAGGAAATCGGTTATATAACATCAAATTCATCCTTACTCTCCTCCAAGACATATATATCCTAAAAATGGTACAGACTGTAAGGGAGACTTAGTTGGGCTCTTCCAAAGTGTATACGGCACGAAGCACAGGGATTCAGACGAAAATGATGGGAGAGAGCTTCAAAGTTAGAAACTCAGCAAGCAACTTTACAAGTCTCTAAAATATGTACTGTTATGCCTGGTAGAAGAAAATCTCATTTGTAAATTCAAAAAACGGGAGTAGAAGAAGTTAATTCTTGTTTGGGGCGAGATCACGATCATTCTGTTGTTCGTTGATTTCCTCGAGCAGGCACCAGTAGTCTCCTTCTTCCTAGCCCTGAGATTTTAAAAGAGCCACATTCAATGCTCTTTCAGGGCTAGGAGAATGAGACCCATCATTGTTACTGGTATTTGGCATATTAAATACAACACGGGAAGTTTGCCAGACTCTGCAGTGCGGGCAGGATACTGTTGGTAGCCTGCCAGGTTCTCCAAAGAAAAATAAGATAAGAAGATGTCGCGTGGCCGCGAATGCGACCACGTGCTTCCTGGAGCTGGGTTTTATAGTCTCTGCGTCTTGGCCGGTGATGGGACCAACCTGGTGCTGGCGGCAGCTGGTGGGTGTGATAAAATTAATATAATTAAGTTTTCAGTGAGCAATGTTAATCACTGATATTTATCCATTTGGGAGGTAAGGAAACTTGGAGTCAAATATTGTCTTATTATTATAAGAATAGATTAGTCTCCCATATATCACTTCCCTTCAACTTTCCCCTGTTTCTAATTTCTATTATAATAGTGAGTGAATGTGTCCTGATTGAATAGTCTGCATCTGGTTTTGAGAGTTCTCCATATACCCTCATTATATACTCTCCATACTCTTTCATTATATCATCAGTAATGAATAATGAATGCTTTAAAGATGAGTTTGTTATACTACTTTCATAGCACTGTAGCACTGTCCTCCCGTTGGTCATCGATTTGCTCGAGTGGGCACCAGTAACATCTCACAACAAATTATGAGACTTGTTACTGTTTTTGGCATATTAAATATGTCACGGGGAGCTTTCCAGGCTTTTTGCCATGTGGGTGAGATACTCTCAGTAGCTTGTGGGGCTCTCCGAGAGGGGCGGAGGAATCGAACCTGGGTAGGCCCTGTTGGCTGTGTGCAATGCAAACACCTTACCTGCCATGCTAATATGAGAAATTTAGGAAGTCTGAGACTTGGAGAGATTAGTTACCTAGGCCAATATTTTGGAAAATTTGTCAAAGTTTATTCAGCTAAGTAATTAAAAGAAGAGATTAAACCTGATTGTCTCTTACTAAAAGGTCTTCCTTTATATTTTTCGTAGGTGTCAAGTGTCGTTGGAATAGATGGAAGTGTTAGTAAAACATGAACCTGAGAGCAAGTCTCTTTAGATCCTAACTCAGATGGAAAGAAAATAAAATTAATTCCTTTTACAGCTAAGCATCACAGATAGGAGATATTTAAACTCTTGTTATGGGGATAAGGGTGGGGGAACTGATTTCCTTTTCTATGAGTTAAGGAATCTGGGTGTCTCAACATCACCTTAACTAAAACCCTCATTATAGATAAAAGACACCAAAATATAAATTGTGCAGCTTTCCTAAATGTGATTAACTTAAAATTTCTCCTAGGGCAAGAAATTAATCCAGGTAGCTTTTCATAGGAATAAGAGAATCTGGTAGTACAAAGTTGCTTTACCTATACAATTTAATCAAGGTATATTTAAGTTTCACAGAGAACTCATTGCCCCTGGACACAATTGAAATATTTATTTTTTTCCCTCTTAATTTAACAGATACTTACTGATGCCAAAAATGCCCCAAGCATGGCATTACTTAAAGTAAAAGGTGATGTAAAATTTAGAAGAAATTAGACAAGGAAAAACTAAGTACGAATTTGCATTTCATTGCTGGTTATTCATTTGTAAGACCTGTGAGTATTTCCTATTGATTAGACAGATTTGTTAACTTTGCCAACTTTCTTAGTGTAGCAAGGAAAGAGTGACTTTTCTTCGAGGCAAAGTGTTAATGTTTTAAAAAATAGGATAATGTCAAGATGTGCTGACACCAGATAAATCTACACACAGTAAGATAACTCGGACGAATAGTGCAGAACCACTGAATTGGGTTAAAGCAAAGATCTTATTTCAGATAGAGCAATGAAGCATATTCACTTCTGAAAAACAAGTGTGAAAAAATAAAAATAAAACTTCTTATCATTTATCTCCAAGTTTTTACTACGTCAACATAATTTTACAGTTCCATTATTCAAAACTCACAGCCATACTTCCTACTATTTATTTAAGATTATCGTGAAAGATACAGTTAAGTAACTTGTTCAAGGACATGCAACTTGTGTCAGTGTTGTCTTTTAAAAAGCTGATTTTTCTGGCTCCCAAATAATGCACTTAATCATTATAAAGTCATTGAATATTTATCCATGTGATTGACCTTCTATAAAGTTTAAGTTCCATAACAAGAAAGAGTGTTCTCTACTATAATCACTATATATTGGAAGGGATCACACTAGCTAGACATTAAGTACAAATATAAAGACAACATATCCCAACAATTTCCCCACCTTTTTTTTCAGTGTCAATACCCCAGGGTTCACCCACGAAAAGCAGGCACTCTGACACTGAGTCATATCCCTAGCCTCTGAACATTTTCCCAGCACTTAAGTTTTAGTACAGAAATGATAGTACAGTAGGTATGCCCTTTCCTGCATGCAGTTGACCAAGTTTGATCCAGGAGTAAGCCCTAAGTACCACTGGTTGTGGCCCCAAAAGCAAGAAACAAAAAGTTGTAGGGTCCAATCTATTTTATTTATTTTTTGGTTTGTGGCCACACTGACTGTGCTCAGGACTTATTCCTGGCTCTATCAGAAATAACAGGGTTTAAGGGACCATATGGGGCGCCATGTACAAGGTAAGTCTGTACCTCTGTACTATCTCTCCGACTCTCAAATTCTTTTATAAAATTATGTGGAGTTTCATGGGACCTGAAGGTTTGTAAATTTGCTCATAGTTGTGTGATTCTACCATTTGAAAATGGAAAATGAACCAGATCGCTTGCCTAAGAAGGTCTTCACTAATGTATGTGGTTACTTTCTGTGACTTTTCATTAACAGTTTTATTGCTGATTTCACTCTTCAATAGCAAACTGTAAGGCCATCTCTGTGCCTATGTTGTCAACTCTTAATTGATTAACCAATGTTTTCTTTCATCTAAAATAATCTATAGTGGTGGGTGAGCAGCTGCCAGTTACAGTCTATCTAAACCAGCAAAGGGACAAGTCATCCAGTGTTTACCCTTAGATAAATGGAGTTGATTTTTGCTACCTCCTTATAAAATTATACTGCAAGATCATTATCATTTTGGTACCAAGAAGAGCTGGTGCTCATAGAGATAACAGCAGCTGTGTTTTATTTCTTTTGCTTCTGTATCCAGGAAATGAATGTTTGTTTGTTCATTTTAAATGCTGGTATTGAGTATTAAAATTAAAAATCTTTGCAGGGAATGTTTAATTACCCCATTATTCAATGGTTAAATCAGAGCAATCTAAAATTTCCTTCCAACCTCAATTTTCAATAAGATTAAGAAGTATAACAAAGGGAGCAGATATTTTCCAT